GGAAGACGTTGGTGGCGCCGTTCTTGTAGGTGCCGTAATGCGGCGCGCGGCCCGAAGATGTCGTGCAGCCAGTTTCCCGAGAAGGTGAAGAAGTCCTTGGCCGCCGATGAAGAGGAAGGGCCCAGTAGTGCTGGCCGTTGCAGCTGGCGGACCACTTGGTCGCGCCGTCAAACCTCGTTGTTCGACACGGTGACACGGCCGGCGGCGTCCCAGCCCGAGACCATGAACTGGCGGCCGACGAGGGAGAACTTGTTGTGGTCGATCCAGATGTTGTCCCGTGTTGCCCAGCGTCAGGGCATCGCCGCCCCCACACCGACTTGGGGTTGATGTTGGTGAAGTGGATGTTCTGGATGATGATGTTCTTCGAGCCGATAATGCGCAGACCCTTGCCGACAATGACACCCTTGTTGCCGACACCGACGAGAGACTTGTTGCTGCCGACTTGCATGGGCTTTGTGCCGGCAGTGTCGTACTTGACCGAGGCAATGGGATTCATCCTGGCTGTGTCGCCGCATGAAAGCGTTCCAATGTAGTCCTGGCCACCCTTGGACACGGGGCAGTCCTTGTTCTCACAGCCGACCGAGGTCGCGGTGCCCTCGGAGCCGATGAAGTTGAATTCCCGGTCGATCAAGATGACACGGGGAGTGCTGTCGGCGAGCCATGCAGCGAGCCTGGTTTCGAGTCAATTATGCTTCCGCAGGACGACAGATGAGCCTGGAAACACTCACTGCTTGATGTCGGCCGGGACGGCCGGCGTCGCGCTGCCGCCGCCAGTCGTGCCGGCTGCCATTCCGAACGCCTTGCCCACGACCTGAGCGTACGCCGGGGACAGGACGCCGACCGCGACGGCGAGAAACATGGAGGCACGCATCCTTGCGATTCTTTCCTGTTAATAGTACTTGGGTGAAAGTAGATATGGTGATGTTTTCGTGTATCAAGTGGCGGTTGCCTCGGTGGATATCAGACCGGCCTGCGGAAGAAAGCCCGGACGAACGATCCTGAACACTGTGAAAATAGGCAAAGAAGCGAAAGCGGAAACGAATGTTGGAATGGTGTAAAGAGTGACAGTAACCAAGAATGCAGAACAAAACGGCGTGTGTCCTGGGCGTGACTGATCACTGCATCTGAGGGCTCGCGACTTATATCGTGATCTTCGGCATCCCCCGACCCAAGCTGGATATGGCAAGCTGCTCGGGGACTTCTCAAATAGGAAAGCCTTCAGGGGCGGCCAAGGACTCACGGAGGCTTTGACATCGGCGTTTACCAGGCTGGGGGCCGAGGTTCGTGGCGCTAATGCACATCTTGAAGAGGCGAATGCGAATATCCAGACGAAGGTATCAATCCAGAGTTGCGATGCCAGTTGTCCTGCACAAGACGAACCGCGGTGTCGAACGTCGCGACACACAAGGCGCGAGTTTCACGCAGCCTGTCCTCTAGAGAGGTAAGCACAGCCTCTCACTATTGGCTCCGGGTTGAACCTGTGATGTTACCATTGATACCTTTCCCGCCTCAACCACGTCGCAACAGATCTTGGGTCGGGAAACGGCAACAACCGTAATGTGTGGGGACCTTTGATGAAAGGGGCCCGTTATGGAAAGCCCCGAAGCAGACGTACAGGGTTTTCCCGGCGAAGTCGTGGTTTGCTTGTACTACGTTGGTCTAGCCCCGTTACACGTCGGCCGAACGGTCGTCCAGTGGCTGAATTAAAATTGATCAGACCCCACGCGGTCGTCTGAAAGCGTAAGGCTGCATCGTCTCGAAACACACGACTCGGACAACCTCTAAGATCGGGTTGGCCATGCGGCAGGATGCTTGGGTGCAACGCTGTTTGCAAAGACCCCAGGCTGGTCGCAAGCTAGGGACACTCGACGCCCACGAACAGAGCCTCGTCGTCTGGCTATGTAGACCATGGTCAAGCTCTGTGAGCTGAACCACTGACCGAGCTCCTCCTGAATACGGCAAGTGCGCTTCCAGTGTTCGTCATGGCGTGTGTGTGTTCAGGTCCTAACAACTGTTCCCCTTTTGCAGTGGTGGCGCTCAAGAGCACAGCGCAATCACAAGGGTTGGGTTGCATGTTGTTAGACCAGTGAGGCGCCTCAATGTATACCTTGAATGGGCCAGGATCATTTCCAGCGCACAGGTTGAAGCGCCAAAATACTGGGTACCGGAGAAAGCACTTCGCGATTCGGGCGATTTGTTGGCCGGTACCCAGGGTACGGTACAGCATCTACCTAGGTACCTTACCTACCTTACCTACCTAGGTACCCAGGCACCTGACCTAAGATGCCTGAGAGATCCTAGGGTCCACAAGAGGACATACTCGATAGCAGTAGGTAGGCACCTGTAGACAAAGCAAAGGCAGCGCCTCCCGATAAGTCATGCGGCTGCAGGGGGTTGTCGCTGGGGCAAGTCGCTGATGACCTTGGCCAAGTCGCTGATGACCTTGGCCACCAGAAGTGGCCTGTCGCCCAGCCACCTAGGTACCTGGGTAGGTACCTGGCGGTCGACATTGAAGATCAACGTCACCGTCTTCAGCCAACAGCCACCTCAAGGTACCTTAGGTAGGTACCTAAGGTAAGGTGCCGTACCCAGGCAGGCATCCAAGGTCGATACTCGGACCTCGACCAGCACATCAAGCCAAATACATGGAATTACGTAGGTACTTCAGTATTTTGAGCCCCGAAGACAACGCTCTGCGTCTTCCACCTCCACAGCAGGCGTCCAGTTTTCCTACGGACGGATGGGTCATGGTACGCAGTTGGAGGATTGGTTCTACCTTAACCAAGCATCAATCCAGTCACTGCAAGAGCCCGACGACAGCTAGTTAAGATGGGATTCGCATGTGCTCCCTCAGTCCATGTCGACAAGCGGCGACTCCAGGCTAATTACTTGGGAATAACACTGCCTTTCGTTCCGTCTTCAGGACGCAGATGATGCTGAAGCTCTCTAAGCTGTATCTGGTTACATCCCATGGCACACATCCGCACGTGCGACGTTGAGTTTGACCGAGATTTGTTCGTCAGATACAATTATGCCAAGCTCCTCAAACATCTAATGCCAATGCTATGAGAAGTTATACAGGGAGGCAATGTTCTTGGCGAATCTAGAAAACAAAGGAAAAGAACAAAGGAAAATAGAGAAGCATAGAAAGTCCGCACCAAGCCACCGCGACTTGATGGTAAGGAGCTGGGGAAACACAGCCGAGAATTTTGCGTGAAAACCCACGGTGATGAGTGCAACACCAATCGAAACAAAGCTCCCGACCTTCCAGCCGGTGCTGGTGCTGGGATTGTTCCTTTGATAACGGGCGACGACTTATACGTGTCTTGTCAGCACAGGGATGTCGTCAATCGTCGGAGCTCCCGCCGTGGTCTTGACAATGAGGCTAAAGATCATCCGCTGGCCGTAACGGGGGAAGAAGTAGTCGACGACAATCTTGGGGAAGGGACGTCTCCTTGATAGAGGCATCGTTCGTGTGTTGACCATGGTTGACAGCGGCGATGGCACGACCGAAGCGGGCCTCCTGGGCTTCGGCGAAAATGTCGGAAATATCGCTTTCTGTCAGCTTGGCATCGTGCGACGTGTCCTTCAGCTTGCGCCGGAGCGCATTGACCAGGACAGCGGACGTTTTCATGGCGCCGTTGCCTCCATGTGCACTGATGGTGTGGGCCTGCGTTTCCCGTCACGTCAGTTTTGTCAAGAGAGCTTGGGGCTTGGGGGGTTGTGTTCGGCATACCTTGTGAGCTGCGTCTCCAGCGGTGAGAATCCTTCGGTAATGCCATCGGGGGAACACATGATCCTCAACGCTGACCAGTGTGATTTGCTGTCCGTGAGTGTAGAGATCCTCAAAGGTCATGGTCTCGGATATTGAATCGCCTAAATGCTGCTCAGCGAGCTACGCTCGTGTTCTTTTGCGAATCAGGGAATGTTCTTGCCGATTGCCTTGTCCATTTCGGTGATCAAGAACCAGTATAAGCGGTCAGCGGGCGCAGTGAGAACCGTATAGTCGCAATTCTTGAAAAAGGCGTTGATTTGCACTCAGTGGTCCTGTTGGCACCGCTTTCGGCCTCTTGAAGATGCCGGAAATACGTTTGCATACGGATCGAAGGCCTACGGACATGGTCAGGATACGCATAACCTCAATGTTGGCTTGTGGGTTACGAACCAGAGAGCTCATCGTCGTTGAAGATGCCAGAGATGGTTTCAGAAACCAGGCGCCATATCTCTTTGCGAACTGCACTGTGGACACCAGGCAAGTAGGCAGGAATTAAGCAAGAAAGGAAGGAAGGCAGGCAGCCAGGCAGGCACGTAGGAAGGAGCAAGGAAGGAAGGAGCAAGGAAGGAAGGAGCAAGGAAGGAAGGAGCAAGGAAGGAAGGAGCAAGGAAGGAAGGAGCAAGGAAGGAAGGAGCAAGGAAGGAAGGAGCAAGGAAGGAAGGCAGGCAAGCAACCAGGCAAGCAACCAGGCAGATTGCTCAGGTAAGGTAGTTAGGTAGTTGCGACCAGACCATACCTAGGTACCTCTCTGTTATCAGAAGATACGAATAAAGCCCTGGATCCACGTGCCATTTCGTATGTCTGCTACCTGGCCATATCTTGGTGTGCTTGTTAGACATTCACCTTCTCTTCTCTGTAGGGTCGCTTCTACGTGCCGCCCAGCGAGACTATCACCATCGCATCGCCTTGGCTTCTCTCAACCGTCCTTAATGCCAGGCTGCACCGCCTGTAGGTCTCTTGTGTACAGTAAGAGATCAGCGCTTCACATTCGTCCATACACGGCAAGATCTTACAGGGCGGTGTCTAGTCCGAGACAGCAATGGGTCAAAAACTTGACGAGGATCACCAGCACTGCTTCGCAATGGTCGTCGCGGTCTCAGCATCCATTCGAAAGCCAACGCGGGCATTTCCAAAGGAACGACACCAACCTGTGGGCAGAAGTGGCATGCTTGCCAAGAATGGATGAGGCTCAGTAGGCCCAGGACCACGCGCATGGGCACGCATTCTCCCTTTCCCTTTTCCCCTGGGATGGAACCCGCGTGTGGCCAATTTGGGCTTCAGCGCCCGGCACGGGCCGAGACAGAATGGAAGCTGAACTGGCTGTGTCAAGTTCACGTGCGGAGAGAAACCGGGGTCGCCATCCAATGGCCGTGTCGTAATGAACTGGGGCATCCTTCAGCTCTCCCCAGTTCAGTCAGCCACAAAACCTCGTCTCGAGCTTGGCTGTACTGATCTGGAGCCCCTGAACGCGCACTATCGAAGACACTGTCCCAGTTGGCCATGCCAGACTGAGGAGCTTTCTGCCAATAGTGACAATGTCAACCATGAGGTCTGTCGTATTTGGTTACTCCCACCCTGGTCCGCCATTCAGCTCGTCCTCGAGTGGCCGGTCCAGGCCTTTTTGACGGCATACTCGTGCAACATGATAGCAACATTTTTGTCTCACGTTCTTCCCCCTCTTTTGCATTTATAAAGGGTAGACTGGTCATGGAACCAGCTTGTTTGCAGGTCGCGCTGTCTTCTGTTCTTTCCACTTGCTCCAGAGACAGATGATCGTTATCCAAATTGGCCCGACATGTCCCGAACAACCGTTCCCTGTGCGCACCAAGCCCACGATAATCTCAACAGAAAGCGGCTGGTTATCTGCTGCGATGGAACCTGGAATAACTCGTGAGCAACTCCCCATTCCCGATAGCCTTACACGTCGGAAGCCCCTGACAAAGAACCATGAAGAAACGACACCGACAGCCCGGCCACAAATGTGAGCCGTTTGGCCGGCGCAGTCGCCCACAAGTGCTGCAGCGGCATGCCGCAGGTCATCTACTACCACCCCGGCGCTGGCACCGAGTCGTCCTGGGTGGCCAAGAAGCTCGGCGGTCTCCTCGGCCTTGGCGTCGTCCAGGACATTGCCGAGACATATCGCTTCATCTGCGACAACTACAACCCCGGCGACGAGATTATCCTCATCGGCTTCTCGCGCGGTGCCTTCACCGCGCGCTCCGTGGCAGACATGATTTGCAACCTGGGGTTTCTGAACCGTGCTGGCCTCGACCATCTCGGCGACATCTTCCACGACTACTCCACGTGGGAGGAGTGGGCGGATGAGAAGAAGTTTGACCCGTCGAAGCACCTTGTCGGCTTCTGCATCGAGAACTATGATCAAGTGCAACGGAGGAACATTGCGTGGAAGAGCCAAAATGCTGCCAACCTGACCACGGACACGTCTGTACAAGGCGAGCCCCCCGGCTCCATGAAGCAACGGCCCAAGGAGGCCAAATCGTTCCAGGAGAGCATGCTCTCGAGTGGCGGTGCCAAGACGGCGCCCGAATACGCCAAAGACCTTGAGGACAAGATGTACGATGGGCTCCTGAAGCAGAAGAAGATTCTTTGGGAGAAAATCAGAGCAGCCAAGACCCGGGCCGAGATCTCGGCGCTCTACCGTCAAGAGCTTTTCGATGTACGTATTTTCCCCCCTCGTCCCCTGCTGCGCTGTGTCGTAAACGGCCGATTGACACCACACAGCACAGACTGGCCTTGACGGAAAAGGCCAAGAACGGGGATTCGGGCTTCAGCTACGTGCCCTGCCCGGCCAAGGTCAAGGCTGTCGGCGTATGGGACACGGTCGGCAGCCTCGGAGTACCCAAGGGTCCTTGGCGCGCCGTTACCGGCGGCCGCAGCGACGACGAGATTCGGTTCGCGAGTCTCGAGATGCACCCCAACGTCCAGCACGCCTTCCATGCGCTGGCCCTTGACGAGTACCGCTCGGCCTTTGGCCCGACGCTCTGGGAGCTCGGCGCTGAGAACACGACGACGGTGCTGCGCCAGGTCTGGTTCGCGGGCAACCACGGCGACGTTGGTGGCGGATGGGAGGACGAGCAGAGCGCCAACATAGCGCTCGCCTGGATGGCCGACCAGCTGTCGTCCGTTGGTGTTGAGTTCAGCAGGCCCGAGATGCAGCGCGTCTTCTACGACGTACGCGCCTCGGCCGTTCCCCAAGCCTGGGACATGGCCCAGATCCACGACCCGCCACCCAAGACGGCCGCTCTCGACGTGGCCGTCAGCAGTGCTACTTTCAATGATCCCACGCCCCGGAAGCCGGGCCTGTACTACCGTGACGCGACTGTTGACAAGAGCGGCAACGTGTTCACCAAGTTTGGCCGCACCGTCAAGGGCTGGGTCGGCATGGGACCGGACCGCGTCAAGCTGTCGACGACGGAAGAGCTGGTCCACCCGTCCGTGAGGCTTCGTTACCAATACAAGGGTTCAGCTCCGAAGGGAGAAGAGGGCCCATATCGATGCCGGGCTCTCATTCAAAACGGGTACCGGCTCAAAGAGATTCCCACACCGAAGCCCAGGAAGGCCCCGTCCATTGAATCCCCGGAACCCGTCTATAAGGCTGTCAGCGGCAACGTCGCGGCGTTCCGCAACGATAGCGACCTCGGTGACAAGTCCTTGGCCGATGTCCCGGGGACCACTCCGCTGGTGCGCGTCCAGCAGCCGCACGAGGAGTGTGACGTCGTGACCCTGCCACCCGCGCAACGCGGCTGGATGTGGGTGCGCCCAGCGCAAGGCAAGGATGAAGCCGAAGTCAAGCTGTACGAGGAGCAGATCGGCCTCTGGGAAAGACTGCACATGAAGGTGCAAGAGGAGCTGGTGGACTGGAAGCCGCTGTACGAGGCGAGACAGGCCAAACTGAAAGCGGCCGAGGACGCGAAGCAGTGGGCGGCCGTCCGAGTCGCCGGCACAGCAGCCTCGGGCGTCGGAAACTTGCTGGCAGCGCCGTTTGGGGCCATCAGGAGGTGGCGCACCAGCAACCCTGATGCCGAGGCGGCTGTCGCCCAGACCATTCTGTACAACGCTGTGTGGGGATATCACGACCTGATCGTTTGGCTGAAGGGTGATGTTCGAAAGCTGTTTCCATGATGGGTGAGGTTGCTGATGGCTGGAAAGCTTGGAGCATGTACAACGAACTGTGTGTCTCCTACTAGCTTGCCTCTTAAGCGCGAATAACAATGATATGATTCCAACGATCTTACGTACTAAGGGTTGGCCTTTATAGGTGTAGATTTTGTTCTCCATCCTCTTTCCACAAAACCTCAAGTGTGGCTTCTATATTCGATGGAACTTGATCGTCAGAGACTCATGGCATGTTCAGAATTGACGAAGAATGGCCTGTTGCTGTAAGGTGTTACATACAGCTACACATCATGCACTTTTGAACCCATGCTGCTCACTCCATGTACATGACATCGTTCATTAGGATGCCATGTAGCATTAAGCGAGCCCGCTCATGGCCAAGACCATGCCATGATATTGGTCAGCCAGGGAGGAAGGCAATGACGACATCTCGCCGAGTCAACATGCCAAGCCGTGCTGCTCAACATGAGAAACCATCTAATATTCAGCTGATCAACCATATCGCGCTTGTCAAGTGAACACCAGCATAGGGAGATTCCGGTGAAAGACACTCAGAGCTGCCATGCCCATGCCGTCACCCAAGCCACAGCACAGTGTGTCCGCGACAAGGCTAACATGACAGGTCACTCCTTGTATCATTGGGTCATGCATTCTGAAGAGACAGAGATGTGCTGCTTGACTACATACGTGCTCGGACCTGACTACCATGAGAATCTGTCAGGATATCCTGTACGACGGCCAAGGCCCCAAAGAGCTGATGTCGTGATACTTGCGAGCAACCAACTGCAGATTGATCGGAGCGCCCTCAAAATCAGACTCATCCCAAAGCCGTCTGGCCTCCCTACACGCGTCGCTCAAGGGTACATAGCTCGCATCATACTTCTCCCCGCGCTGGGTGACGATGGGCGTCGGGAATACGACGCCAGGGTAGTCGATAAAATTGTAGAGCGACGTGTACGTCCAGGTAAACGCCGTGTCGTGCGCACACGCCGGGCCGATGTAGGCGGGGCCCAGAACCACGTCCACGTCCTGCTCCGCCCAGCTCCGGGCGAATTTGATGCGAAAGTCATCTCTGTCTTTGCGCATGAGGGCCACGTCCTGCGCCGTGAGCATCCCATGGGGCTCGGCGTCTTTCCAGATCCATTCTGAAAGGGGGTGGAGAGGCTCGCCCGTTGCGACTATTTCGTCCCTGGCACCTTGACCGCCATCGGGCCAATAAGTTCTCCGAATCTTGGACCAGGCATCGGCGGCACCGAAGGGCTTGAACGATGTGACCTCTACGGCGCCGGCGTACTCGGGATCGGAGAGAAGCTGTGCGAGCCCAGGCCGTCGCCCGTTTGACTGGTGGCTGCGGTTCTACGAAAACATCATTGTCGATGATTCCGATCTTGAGGACCCTAGTCATCCGCGTCCGAAGACCGGTCCAGGGCATGGGAACAAGTTTTGGGTCAGTGAGGTGCGGCTCCTTCGAGAGATCTACTCGAAGAAACAGGTCCATGTCTCTAAGGCTGCGGCACATCGGTCCTGGAGCGGCTAGCACGTTAAGCTCTGCTGGGCACGGATTGGCCAGAAAGCGATCTGTGGGCAGCACGTATGATGTGGGTTTGAACCCATAGATACCGCAGAACGCCGAAGGTCCTCTTATTCTGCCTCCTATGTCGGTGCCCACGCCGAGAACTGAGCCCTTCATGGCGATGAGCGCGGCCTCCCCGCCAGTGGAGCCGCCAGCGGACAGGCGAGTGTTGAAGGGGTTCAGGACCCGGCCCCACAGCGAATCGCTTTCCAGATGCATGATGGTCTGTGGCTGGTTGGTCTTGCAGTAGAAGACAGCTCCCATGCTGCGCAGGATTGCGGTCATCTGGCAGTCCTCGCTGTCGATGGCGATGCTGCCGAGGCAGCCGGCAGAGGAGGGCTTGCCGGCAATGGGGATATGTTCTTTGATGCTGACGGGTACGCCGTGCAGGGGCCCAACAGTCTTCCCAGTGGCGTCGAGGTGTGCGTCGAGGTGGGCAGCCTGCTCGATGGCTTCTGCCATGAACCACTGGGTCAGGCAGCAAGTCAGCTGGTGGGCGATGATGGCCCGCTTGGAGAACGCTGTGGCTACGCTGACGGCGGTGAATTTGCGGGAGGCAATCGCTGCAGCGAGACCAACGGCATCGTAGTTCTCAGTGATGGCGAGCTCTAGAGGCGACAGGATGCCGCAAGTGACAGGAATGTTGGAAACGTCAGGCGGGGCATTGTCGATGATATCCTTGGAAAGGAAGTGTGCGTGAGGGACCTTTTCGCTGAACGCTTGTAGGATATCCGCCCGCTTTGCTTCGAAGGCGTCGGTTCCCCGAGGCACCGGCTTGACTTGTAGAACACAGAATGGTTTCGAGTCCATTGTTGGTTGATGTGCATGTGGAAGACGGTTCAGGGAGGAAAACGGAGGCTGGTCGTTCAACCTTGACTTGGTGTATTGCCGGAAACTCAGTAGGGGTGCGTGCGATGCTGGACCAAAGGCAGACAAAGTCAAAAGAAGGTGGCAGCGTGCTTGATGACATGAATGTATGTGCCCTCGGAAAATCGGTTGTTTCCAACCCCTCACAAGGTGCAACTATCTCGGAATATCACCGCACCGACGGCTGTTGAGGAAGGCACCATCGAGACTCTGATGTGCGTGACACGACACCCTGGCCATCATATCTGGTACCTACGAGATAGCCATATCTCCAAGTCCAAGGGCTGATCTTGGATCAACGGAGATACGACATACTCTTGGAGACCCCCGGAATCGCTAAGCGACTGGCTGACTATCAAGCTGACCCGTCAAAACAACAGAATCATAGAGTCCGAGTATCGGCTCTGGCCAATTTTTCTTTGCGTAGTCGTAGTCCCTAGCGGTCTCATACTCTAGAGTGTTAGCGCTGCTCATGGCGTCCACTGGTTTAGTTTGATCTTTGCCATGAGATCCTTGGCTTTCGCGACCACAATCGGCGTGACCCTGAGTGTGAACTATCTGATTGATAGCTATCACGATATCAGCGGAGATGCGATTGTGACTGTTATCTTGGTCCGCAACACCATGTCCTTTGCCGTCAGCTACGGGTCAGTTCCCCTTTCCTTGGCTATGCAGAGCTTATGTCTGGGAGAACCAAAAGCAACTGACAAGACATACAGAATCACGCCCTGGCTGATGAACCTTGGTTATCAGAATTGTTTTATCTCTGCTGCTTTCATCGGCATGGCCACGTCGTCGGTTTTCTTCGTCATGATTAAGTATGGAAAGAAATTTCGAATTCGCAGCGCCAGCAAGTATCACAGACTTGTCAGTGCCGCAGAGTCGAAATGGTAGGGACGTGGTTGGGACATCTCGTTGTCCGATGATGATATGTTGCGGGGAGATACTGTGGGCGAGAAAAAACGTTCGTCGGAGGTACTCGGAAAGTTTACAAGAACAAGGCGACCGTGAGAGTATCCAGAACGTTGTCAAGTGCCTCTAGCAATATTATCACTGTGATCAGGGCTGAGGCCTGGTTGGCATAAATTCTTTAGCTTGTGCAGTCTTACTGCGAGTTTCATGCCTGGCATCAGGTGTACCTTTCGTTCTTATCATCGACTTCCCTACCGTGATGCTGCTATATACCAACCTTGCCTATTCCAGGTAGTCAGGCCCGCCACAAGAGTTAACCTAGCGCACTAAAAACACCACTAAAATAGCCAAGCTATCGTGGGGAAGCGGGGGAACTGGGCCATGCCGCTCTTACACTCGGAGTTCAAGCCAGGAACCCGAGACCAGATGGTGATGCCACCGCGGTGTCTGCGGATGACTGCTTCTATTGCGGATGGGACGGTAAGACTAGACGACCGTTCTACTGTAGAGGAAAACATTCACAAACGGCACCCTAGAACGCTCCTAACTTAGGGGATAACTACCGAGGAACTATATTCAGGTCGGATAAGGCCAATTTTAGTTCTCGTATAAGGCTACTATATCACCGACTATTAATGCCTAGAAGCCTATCCTTTATTAATGTTGAGAGGGCTTCACTGCTTATGTGAACCCCAATCCAGTACTTCCGCTGTGCTTGCGAGCTCTGAATAGGTAGGGTATCTGATAAGTCTTGTGATGGTTGATTCTTGATTTATTCTTGTCTGCTTCTCTGAGTTACTGCTACCTACGTGAGTCAGATATACCCATCTGCTCTCAGCGATCACGTAAGCCGTAGTTCACGTGCTCCTGAGAGCAGTGGATCCCAGATATCCCAGATATCTTAGATATCACCATCCTAACCACAGAGTTCCCTAATATTAGTTCAACAATTAAAAAGGTTTTAATTAACGATATTAGTATCCATATATTCGTTTTATTTAGATAGCGAATATAATACCTAACCGATAATATAAACCGAGCACGCTCTTACTTATTACTTTAATTACTTATAGAAGATAGAGATATCGATAATAGAGAACGATCTCTAAGGAACTATCTAGGCTTACGTACCTATAACCGAGCCGCTAATATCTAGCCCTAGGGGTCTTTCGACTTTAGGATCCCCTACTTAAGAGTATTAGAGATCTTAGTAGAAATAATTAGCCTCTTAATATAAAGGTTAGATAATATAAAGATAGACTTTATCCTATTTAACCTAGCTATCTCCGGTATATTAACCTAGGCCTATATTCTTCTAGACCTAAAATATAAAGCAGAGTTACTAGCCTATAACCCCTCTAATAGCCGCCTTACTATTAACTATAAAGTATTAACCGTTTCCCTAACTACCTTCCTAGCCTATTACCCGTACTTCTTTAAGCTATATAAACTTTATAGTATAGCTCTATTTATATACCCTTATAGGTTTATATATACTAGATATATAGAGGATCGATCTTACTTCACCTATAGTATACTAAATATAGAAGCTAAATAGTTTAATTAGGGAGGTATCCTAGAGCTATATCATTAGCTAAACCTAAGCGAGGATAATTAGATACCTATTCTACTATCCTTAATACCTAGCTCTTATATCCCTAATACCTAGGCCCCTCCGGCCTTTACTATAGACGAAGACTAATATGAATAGCTAGGTGGAAGGGCCTGCCCTGTGGCCGTGCCTTGAGGCCGCCTATGGCCTGGCACGTGGCCTGGCCTGTGGCCCTGCCTGAGGCCTGAGGCCTGGCACGTGGCCTGACTTGTAGGCCCGTGCCCACTTACCTATATATATGCCTACGTGGCCTTTCAACCTAGGTAGACTAATTTATCTATCTTATACCTATAGAATAGCTACCTAGCATCTATTATATATTCCTAGCGTGACGCCTGCCTAGTCCCTAAGACCCGACTCTAGTACTAGCCGTACTAGAGCCGTAGCTATTATCTATAATAAAGACGAGGTCCGGGATATAGGACTAATGCTAGTAGTGCAAACTCTGGGATTCCCTTACTACCTAAGGGAGTAGGATATTATAATAAGGGAGATTATATATCTAGAGATTATATATCTAGGATAACTAGATAGTATTTAGTTTCGCCGTCTTAACTTAGATATCTAACCTAACGCTCTATTAAATATTTAAAGCATAAGCATTTAATATATAGTAGTCTTCTTAGCCCTATATATAGAAATCCTTAAACTATTACGACCCTACTAGTATATTATTAATACTTTACTTACCGCTTCTACCTTAGTAGCCTCTACTATATATAGACCTATAGCCGGTAACCTATATAAACTACTAATCGATTCCCTTCGGGCAGGAGATCTAGTAGACGTCATAGATGCGCAAGTGAGACTGATGACCTAGCTTCCGGTATAGGTGGCTCTTGCAAAGACGCGCAGAGGATTGCTGGAGGCGTTCGACCGGGGGATCCCCCAACTAAGGTAGCCCAGAGATTCGCCTACCACCCTCAATCTCTCCGTACACCATGGCTCATCTTTCTCACATCGCATCGCACATCGAATGTCGAGTCTGGCATGACTTTCCAACAATATGAGAGGCGGAAGTGCGGCGAGGCTGCGGACAAAGACCGGTTGCCTTACTTGTACGTCCATGTGTACAAATTGCTTCGCTTCTTGAACGATTGCTGATTTCATCCTGCCTTGACAGGCTGCCGACGCCGAAAGAAGTGTAACGAACAAGTGCCCGTCTGTAGCGAATGCAGAGCTTGTAGTCGCCAATGTCACTGGCCTGTCTCGGCAGACTCGGTCGATCGTCGATTTGCCTCTCACGAGGACTCTCGGCATCATGCGACCACCAAAGAGCGGGCGAAGCCCATTGCTTCTCATTGCAGAGCACATTCAGCGATGTCGCCATTTGAGGACGACCGCAATTCCGCACCAACCGAGTCGTCGCCGCCTGGAAAACCCCTCATTCACATCTCTCACCTGTTGGCCGAGTCTCGCGCATCTCACACCTGACCGTATCCCAGGAGATGCCTGCTGTTCTGTCCCGCCACTTTGTCGAAAACTGCTTCACCTTGCTTCTCCTACCCACCTGTCACCCGGGTTTCTCTCAAGACTGGCTGGGCGAAATCAAAAACCTCATGGTCTCCCACGACTGCCTGTATTACTCGGTGCTGGCCTATGCTGCCTCACACGTCTTCCTGATGGACACGTCAACACGGATCCAGGGCCTCGTTTCAACTTATTGTTCCAAGGCGACGAGAGCGATGTCATGTCTGCTTGAGATCGAGGCTCGTCCTGAGCTTCACAATGGGCTCCTTATGTCCGTTATGTTACTGTACTTACATGGCGTAAGGTGACCCTCCACGTATCGTCGCCAGTCTGGCCAAAGCCCATGATCTGTACACAGACAACCGCCAAGAAGAAGGTCTAATCTTTTCTACAGTGCGTGGGCATGGGAACATATACCGATATACCGATGCACGTGAACGCAGCAATTCGCATCATCAAGACGAGACTCCTCGATCGCCACAAGACAGTCCATCGTCTCTTTGACCGAGTCGCGGTCAAGAGCGTTCTGTGTCAGATTTTCCTTGCAACAACAGGTCTGTGGACGCAGGAGGCAGAGGCCGAATACAAATTTGACGCCGTGTTTTGGACCAAAGCCGAGGATTTCCTAGACCGGTCCACTATCTTCCCTGGACAACCGATAAGCCTCAACAGCCCGGTCCTGGGCGTTCCAATATCGCTGTTCAGGCTGTCGTTTATGCTGCAAAAGCAGTACGGCAGCGGGCTGGCTCTCGACTCGGCGATGCTCAGCCGGATCAGGGACGAGGTGGCCGAGTGCGAGGCCCTGCTTCTCTGCGTTCGAACCGCCGAATCGTCGACGTGCGAGGAAGGTTCTACGGAGGATATCTACTACAGAGACGCGAGCTGCCTGTTTGGCATTATCATCTCGCTCCTCTTCGAGCAGCTCTGCCGACCCCATGTCGGAGCTGGGCCGCTGCTACCGGAGCCGAGTGAGTCATGGCAGGTGGGCAAGGCGATGCGGATCCTGCGACGGCACGAACACGCGGAGGGCTGGAGCAGGTGCTTCATCGGGAACTGGCCGGTGTACACCCTAGGCCTCTTCATGAAGTCACCCAATGACCAAGAGGTCGTTCGGAATGACCTTCAGCAGAGATTGGGATTGACGGGGTTTTCGCAGGTGTGTCGATTCCAAGGGGATCTCGAACAGATCTGGGCGTCGCGGCGGAGCTCCGTATAGGAGCCATCGCTTTTTTAAGTCTTTGCTGATCGCTCGGGATTCATAAGTCTCACTTGATACAGAAGCTCTTGAAATCGATGAAACTTTAGTTCATCGGATTCGTGATGCGGGAAGCACCCATGTAGAAGCACTGTGTTGCCTCCTGGTGTTGAGACTAGCATGTCATCAAATCCATCGACCGGTGAAATACACTCAAAGTCCACGTAGGGGGTTCAACTCTATGGATGTTGATCGAATCAGGTCACACGTCGTCGTCAAGGGTATGCTATCATAAAAAGCTATGGGTGTATGTGCTCCAGTAAAGTCGGCATATCGATAAGTCAGCGCTGAGTGTTCCCAATATTGAGCTGAACACTGCGTCCTAGCAAGATCGTCATTCAAAAAGTGGCATGAGTACCAACGAAGCAAAGACCTCGGATTCAACCGTTTGACCATGCGCGCTACTGGGACCATCAAACCCACGCCGCTACTCGGGCTTCTGGCCATACGTGGCGGACCTATACCAGTTAGTAATTGCCACAGACACAAGCATCATTCTAGGGGCGGGCGCGACATACGCCACATAGTACGCATGGTTGGAGCGCTTCTTGAGTTCGCTGCGCACCGCGGCGATGTACGTCTGCGCCTGGACAATGTCCCACTGGTGAACGTTGGTGAGGATGTAGAGCATGAAGCCCTCGAGTCCCTGCTCGGTGGCGACGAGGTTGTACTTGCCGACCTCCTTCAGCTTGGGGTCGGCGGGCCAGGCGCCCATGGGCAGCTTGAGGCGGAGTTCGTCCACGTTCACGAAGCCGGCGTCCTTCATCCAACCGTGGTTGACCTTGTCCATGATGATGTTGAACGTGCGACCGAGCTTCTCGCCGGCCTTGATGAAGAAACCACCGTAGTCGTTCCAAGCCGAGGTGGGGCTCAGGGAGCCGTCATCGCTGTAGATGTGCGGGTCGTAGTCCATGTGCTCGAACCAGCCGCCGGGCTTCAGGCAGCGGTAGACCTCGCTGTAGAGGAAGGGCCAGTCTTTGATGGCACCCATGAGGAGGCGCATGTGGATGTAGTCAAAGTGATTGTCAGGGAAGGTCCAGGGCAGCTGAGCGTCGTCGAGCTCGAAGCGGCAGTTGGAGGGTACCCATGCGGGCTGAATGGGCGACAGGTCTGTTCCGATGACCTCAGCGCTGGGGTATTGGTCCGCAAAGTCACTTAAGAGCACAGGATCAGCTTGTCAGAACACTAGAAAGACCTAGCCAGCTGGTCGACAGGGCACTGTAGGGACAATCATACATGGCCCAGATACCAGTTCCCGTACCGACGTCGAGGACTCTCTGCGGCGTGCCCGAAATGGGAGCAACGTGAAGTCGGTTGTCCATAGCCATCAGCAGCATCTCATGACTGGGGCGAACTGTCAGCGCGACCGTCAAGGGGGTATTGACCGAGTGAGAGGGGCAAAAACAGTCTCACTTGATGTCAAGATGCTCATTCTGCTTATCGTCGTTGGGACCCCTGGATGCCTGGTGTTAGGTGCGACAATTCGAGGCAATCACGACGGTTCTCGACGCACCAGTACTCGGTGTCGGACTTGAAGTTGTGAAAGGTTCGACCATGGATTTTGCGATACTCCAGGACGCTGTCTGTGACCGAGGCGGTGGAGCTCAGGCTATGGTGGTTGAAAGGTCAGACTGAGTGAATCAGGTCTCAAGCGACAAATGAGGTGTAGACGCACCCATCCTCGAACCCATCATCAGTCTGATCGTCGCGCTCGTGAGCGGCATCCTGAGGAGAGCTGGTGAGCAACAGCATCCGGGCTGGAGGCGGCGGTCCTGCGTACCACTTGGATGTTGGCAGCTTGGGCTGGGGCTTGAGCTGGAGGGGGAGAGCCGGTCGGAGGCGAGGCCGCAGGTGAGTCGGCTGCGGCGGCCGTTGCCGGAGCCTCAGCAGAAGAAGCCATTGTCGCTGTTGTTTCCTACAAGTGAAAGTGGACGAGGCACGGGGCTTGGCAAGCGGATTCTCGATGATCGAAAGTGGACTAAGAGCCAAATGAAGCCTGGGGAGTCTGAAGCGGGGATACTGAAGAGCACACGTCGCGCCAAGATTGAGTATGAGGGGATTTCAACTCGGATAAACATCCCTGTAGCCCCCCGGTCGATCTAGCACCATCTATCCGCGCGCTCCCGAGGCATCGTCGCTTTCTGTAACGACTACTTGGGCAACTTGTCTATCATCTCCAGGCAACATGAGCTGGACAGCTCGAGTGAACGAATAAGATCAAACACTGCACATACTCACAATTTCAAACTGCAGGATCATGCGACACGAAGTTTGCATGGTGAGAAAGTCATAGCCGCAGGTATCGTTCGCACCATATCATGTTCCCCATGATAAGGTTCATGCGAACTGACCCAGCAGAAAAGCGAAGGGACGTACACGTGTTCATCCTGGGGCACACGGCGAAGAGAGATCTCGACCTCGACATGCAATGCTGATTGAATAAGCAACGTCACGGCTGGTCAGGACAAGGACAGGTTCTGATGATAAATTACGATACGCCAGTCTACGAATTCAATTGCTCTTCCAAATTCCATGCCTGCAAGGCTGCACCATCGCTTTACGACTGCTTTGCAACTGCCTGGCCCAGGTTCCCGCGAATGTTGTCATACACAGAAACAGGGTACCACAGCAAGTTCTGGGACTTCTCCAGCCCAATCTTCTTGGCGACGTAAGACACGATGCTCTCGTCGCCAGTCTTGTCACCCGAACCCTCCCAGTACATGGCACCTCCGAGGCCTCGGAACTGGAGGTAGTCCGCCTTGGCGCCGGCGCTCTTGATGTCATCAAAAGAATAAAGCTGTCTCGTCTTGCTGTCGTAGCTGTACGTTCCCTGAGCGATGGGGTCGAACTCGACCTTGGCGCCGGGGAGGGGAAGGTACTTGTACATCAAGGTGCCCTGGTTTCCGAGCGAGTCGACGGGGACGCCGTGGTACGGCTTTCCCATACCATCCGTGTTGTTGAAGCCACGGCCGTACAGTGGGATGCCAAGGTTGAACTTGGCGGGGGCAACACCGCCCTTGATGTAGTCATCAATGGCCTGGTTGATGTTGGACTTTGTCGAGACAGGGTTGAAAGGGTTGGGGAAGATGTTGGAGGCATGGGCGGTGGTGTTGTCCCAGCTACCAGCAAAGTCATAAGCCATCAGAGACCAGTAGTCGAGGCTCTTGTCCATGGCCGCCAAGTCAAACGCCCCATAGTTCTGAGAGCCAGCGGGAGCGGCAAAGGTAAGAAGGAAGTGATATCCGTTGGCGTGCTTGGCCGAGTATTCGTCGAGCGCCTGCCGAAGCTCCTGTAAAAGGATGACACACTGCTTGTTGAGTGCCGGGGTGTTGGGGTATTCCCAGTCAACGTCGATGCCATCCATGCCCCAATCCGTGATCAGCTTGACGGCGGAGGCGACGAATCGGGCACGTTTCTTGTCGTCAGCAACGACCGGAGGAAACTTTGGCGACCAAGTCCAGCCACCGATGGAGAGAAGAACCTTGAGACTGCGGTTCTCAATCTTCTTCTGGTAGATTTGCTTCACAAGGCCGTAGGCGTTGTTACCTGGCTCGGTGGTGTTGTCACCGGGGAAGCCCTTTTCAGTGTCGGCCCAAGGATCAGAGGAGAACCTGCTTTGTTTAGCGAATGTCAGACACGCTGGAGTTCGCAATGCTGCAACTCACACAGTACCGTCGTCCTGGATGTTAGCAAAAGCATAGTTGATGTGAGTGACCTTGTCCGCAGGAATCTGGTCTGGCTGGTAGTTGGCGCCGTAGATACCCCAATTGGTGACATAGAGAACGTTGCGGTGACCTTGGCTCGCCGGATCGCTGAAACCTTTGCCAGAGCCGCTGCTGGAGCCGCTGCCGGAGCCGCTGCTGGAGCCACTGCCAGGAGTGCTACCAGAGCCGCTGCTGGAGCCGCTGCCAGGAGTGCTGCCGGAGCCGCTGCCGGAGCCGCTGCTGGAGCCGCTGCCGGAGCCGCTGCTGGAGCCGCTGCCAGGAGTGCTGCCAGAGCCGCTGCCAGGAGTGTTGTCAGAGCCGCTGCTGGAGCCACTGCCGGAGCCGCTGCCAGGAGTGCTACCAGAGCCGCTGCCGGAGCCGCTGCCAGGAGTGCTGCCAGAGCCGCTGTTGGAGCCGCTGCCAGGAGTACGGCCGGAACTGTCGCCCAGACTTTTGCCAGAGAAGCCGCCAGAACCATTGTCAGGATTGCCCCAAGGGTTGTTGCCAGGACCGTTCCAAGGTCTGCCACCGAGACTGCTGGGACCGTTCCAGGGGTCCTTGCCGCCCCCGCTGCCCGGCCATTTGCCGTAACCGCCGCTTGGGCCAGAGCCCTTCCCATAGTTGTTGTTTGGCCTGGTGCGGTAACTGTTGCTGTACTGGGTGCCGGAATTGCTGCCATAGCCCGTGCCGGACTTGCCAGCAGGGTTCACCACGTAGATGTCTGTGGGATGCTTGCTTTTGCCGTTGTTCAAGCCATTGCTCCAGCCGTTGTTCGAGGCGCTGTTGCTGTTCTGATCGTTGTTATTGCTGTTGTTCGACACGTCGTCACAGTCGTCGCTGTTGTGATCATTGCTGCTGCTGCTGCTGCTACTGCTGCTGCTACTGCTGTAGTGACTGCTGTCGCTGTGGCTATTGTTGCGACTACCATAGCTGTAGCTGTAGCCGGAAGTGGAACTGGAGGTAGATCTGCTTCCGACAGTCGGCACAGCCAGAGCCGGCGTCACGGCAAGAGCCGAAAGAAGGATGCTAAACTTCATTGTTGTAAAGGAACGTCAAGAAGCAGGAAGTGAAGTAAGAGATGGTGAATGATAATAAGGTAAGGGAAATGAAGGACTGACGGGGGTGGGATGAAATGAGTGTCCGGTTCAATAGCCTAGTACAGACAGAGAAAAACTGTCATGACCATCATGGAGAGAAAGGCCACGCCCTGAGTTGAGGATAACACCAAGCCTTTTATCATCAAGCCCAAGTCATTCAGAGGCACCATGCCTCATTTCTAGGGAGTTGGTTCGAATGCCAGTGAACCGGGCAGACGTGGCTGGCCCCTGGTTGCCTTCGGCCTCCGGCACAGACAGCGAGTCAGTGCCATCACGATATTCAGTGCATTGTCTGTCTATAAGGTTTTGCTGGCGTCGATTCACAAAGAAATGAGGTCTTAATAATGTGATGCTATTCGTCTGCTCGTGGCGGAATCTGCTGATCAGTGACAAGAGTGACGTCGAGGCAGAATTGGATGATGAAGCGCCGCCTCGCGTTGGAGTGTAGTGCAAGTCATGGAGTAGCATCAGCGTGATACTGTGTACGCGGTGTAGCGAGGACGGGAACTGTTCACACGTCTTCGACATGACACTCTTTTCTGCAGAGTACGGCAAGCGCAAGCACTCGCCATGAGGGCTACGTCACTCATCCCGCGTGCCAAGACGTCGTCGACGATTGGAAGCTGTCAAAACCGCTTGGCGTTCCCAGAATATTGATTTGAGAACAGTGGCGTAGAAGCCGTTCACGCTGGCCAAAAACTCGAGCGGCATGGCGCCGTCCAAGGGCGCTTCCAAAAGCAGATCAGATCGACATGGCGGCACGCTAATTCCATGGCCCATTGTCCCATGTTCCATGTCCTAAGCAAGGGCCATTGTCTTCTTCAATCTTCAAATCGCCCGGAGGTCCCGGTTAAAGCCCCTGAACTCGGTATTTGAGTCCGGTTCCTGCTTTGTTTCAGGGGTTCGTACCCATTAAGGTTTTACCTTACTTCCTTAGCTCGGGTTCCCGTGTGCCCTGGCATGAAAAGGAGACCATCGCGCCACTTGAGCCAATTTGGGCGAACAGGGAGGGCTGGATACTACCAGACAGAGTGGCCAGGACGCAACGGGACCAACCCCCTCGAGGAACTCGCGACTTGGAAGGCCGTAGAAACAAACGTGTCGCTCGCTGTCTTAGTACATACAAGCACGTTATGTTTCGTGTTTTCATGCCCTCTGGCAGCCCTCTGATGGAGCCACGAGTCTGGGCCTCGTGGCGGGTAGCGTGAGCGTGGCCAACAACTCATACCAGGCCCGCCCTTGCTTGGTCGACTCCAACCCCAACCCTGAAAATCGACATTGAACGAACTCAGGGGCTTGGGCTTATGATCACCTCGTCTCCCCTGACGGTCCTTTGGCTGCATCTCTGAATCAGGCTCCAATCCGATTGACTGCACGCAAGTCATGGAATTGCAATTCTAAGCATATCTGCAGTCCTGCGGGCTGCACCCGCTACCCGCCTCTGAACAGGCCAGCCTCATTAAACATTGCACAGGAACCCGACAAGCCTGGGGGGGGGGGGGGGGGGGCATCTTCGCTTCTGCGAAAACCTTGATCGTGAGTTGCATTTCAAGGTTCTTATTCCATCCTTTATCACATGCCCATGACTGCCAGAGTGAGCGGCAACTTGTGGGTCTCGGCAGATGTGGTATTCACCATCCAACAAAGGGGGGTACAAAGGTATGAGAATGGTTATATGGAATTGACCGGATTCCCCCTAGCTCGCAACGCCACTGAAAGGCATCCCTAAATAGACCTTCCTGCATGCAAACAGCCGCAGTTTCTTTGCATGGGAAAAGCTTGCATGAGAAAGGCTGACAGAATCCTGTCCAGCCCGTCATGATTGATTGCCTGCAATGCCATCAAAGCCGCGCGGCGCGCCTCGCCGTGGAATGACAGGCATTATTCCGAGAATCCTCCAGCTGATGCCTGATTCAATTGCCGGCTGTCTACATGTAAGCATCGATGACCAAGTCCTCCCAGTCTGGTGCTGCATGCTCCGCTCGTTCGCCAGGGGTTGGTGTCACGTGTTGGGCCTCAAAACCGAGGCTGCAGCCCAATGCCCGACGCAAAACTCGCAATCCTGCCCCTTTGTCCCAAAATCTCCACCGGATGGACAAGGTTGAACAGCACCATGGTGATGAACATCAGCAGCGCGTCAAAGATGTACAGGTACACCTCGTGGTTGAGCAGGTACCCGTCGAAGCCCTGGAGATACTCGATGGCGCGAAACAGCGAGCGCACCATGATGAGCATGCCGGCGGCGTAGAGGATCTTGAGGTGCTTTTCCCAGGGGATGCCGATGCGTGAGCGCGCCGTCGGGGCGCGACGGACTCTGACGTGGAAGTTTACGGCGACGATGAGGAAGATGCCGAAGAAGATGAGCTGGACGAAGAGGCCGACAATGATGATGTTTGCGCCCGTCTTCAGGGCCGCAAGGGTACCGGATGCTTGGTAGCCGCCACCTAGTGATCATGTCAGATCAAAGGTGGGGGGAAAGGGGCCCTGTAGAAGGATTCAAGACTTACCTCCGCCTTGGAGGAAGAAGGAAAGCACGTCGCCGATAACAAACAGCTTGGTCATCCACTTGCGTGGAATGAGAGAATGACCCTCGCCGTCTATGAGGGTGACGATTCTACCGAGCTCCATGTAAATGGTCGCGGCAAATAGGGCGGGAGCAACGAGCAACAGGATAGCTTGGAGAATGTATGGCGTCAAGGTCCAGTCAGGGGTCTCCTTGCCCGAGGCAAATCGCCCACCGTACCCGACCATCTCGACTGTGAACTCGTTTATTATTGACTGCATCCTGCCTGCAAGCGGGTTCTTTGGGAGGCTTGGGAACGTACATATGCCGCCGGCGATGATGGGTATCATGATCCATATGCGGGTGCGTACCAGCTGCCAACAGTGCCAAAGAGTGGTAACCAAGAATGCCAGCAGAAATATAATAGCACCGACCTCTGAAGGGTGATAGTGATACAGCTTGAAGATTTGCTCCTCCGCAGGAGCTGTGGAGTTGGCCGAAGAGGCACCAGGTACTTCAGCATCGGCTGCCTCGCGAGCAAAGAGATCCATGATGAGGTACGCTGAATTTCACAAGAAGAAGATATGACAGTCTGAGGATAAAAAAGAGAGGGGTGCGGTCGTTGTGAGTATAGTTCGTAATGATCAATGAAAGCAGAACGGGTGAACGGGAAGTGAGATTTGGCGGCGATGACCGGTTGAACTATGTTGAAGGGTCCTGGAACAAACTAAGATTGAAGAGAGAGAAAGATTGTAGTAAGATGAAATGGGCAAGATACCTGCTAGTCAGAGGTTCTAGAGCATCGGGGTGCAGTTTTATGAATGCTGCAAAGTCTCGGACCCGAGCCCCTCTGCAGAAAAGAAGATGCAGCTAGCTCCCGAGAAGCACGCGGTGCCCCTGTCGATCTACCCCATAGAAAAAAGGGAGATTTCGAAACTCGAATAGAGTGTCATCGTATCCTGCATAACGCCGACGACCTGTGGGTGCCTCAAGTCATCGGATACTTGGCAGGGCTGGGACATGCTTCGGTCCTTTACGCGCAGTCTCTCGGCAAGTGACGCGAAAGCTTGTACTAGCTCCAACAAGTCCGGCCTCGTCTTCCTGTCGTGGTACATCTCATCTATACAATGACAGCTGTTGTTGGCCCTCCCGTGACAAAGCACAAATCTCGACTTTTGCGACGAGATCGGGGTTTCCTTCCTTTTCGCCAAGCTGTCCTTGGGCGTGCTCGAGTGTGGCCATGTTCGCTGCAGTTATCACGCAGGTCCCAATCTTGCCTCAGAGTATCTTTTGGCGCATACCTAGGTGCTGTGCTCGTTTACGAAGATTTATCTGGCTTTTTTTAACAGTCTCGCCAAGCGCTGGCTCGGACCGCCTCGCATTCCACAGCGGCTTCGTCGAGGGGGGTTCACTGCGCTTTGCGAGCACTGGTCTAGGTTGAGCGAGGTTGAGCAGACCTCAAGTGAGGCTGTGTACCCCTGCTCACCTGCTTCTAGTGGGGAGAGCTGATCTATGAGCAGATCATGAAGGGAGGCTCTCCAGAACCAACAAGATCAGATTCTTCCTTCCTCATGACGCGTCCCATCAACACTCTTATTAGGTATGCCCCGCATGACGGCCCTGCAGTGAGACCGATACCCGTTAGAGGCCGTTTTGTCGTGAGGCGGAGCAAGGGCGCCAAGGCCGGAAAGGGGCAACGCCCGAGTACGCATACGACGAGAAGAAACAAGCAATGCACTGCAAGACGACAGCAGCAATCTCGAATGCAGAATGGCTTTGAGGTCCACTTCTGCCCGTCAGGTCAGCCCCCATCAGGAAAGGCCCGTGTGAGGTTGAGTGGATCTGGACCCTGGGAATCCAGATCGGGCATCGCACAACGCTCGTACTTCGTATATACGCCGATTCGATACGAAGGTGCCGCCGCGCACGAGCGAGCGAGCGAGCGAGCGAGCGAAGCGACCAACCGACTTGCCTTCTCGTACATGGCTCGCGAGACGAGGCGAAGCCGCCCGATGGCGTTGCCGATCAACGGGGACAAGACCATGGCATTTTTTCCGCGGAGATAGTGTCGTAGTTGGCCTTGCTTGGAGACATATACTCGCGCAGGCGCTCACCACGGTTTCGATTCGAAACATGGTTTCACGGCTTCGCCTTCCGTCCTCGCTCTTTTTTCAACCTCTGTGGTTCACATTGACAAGTCGCCAAAAGACTTGAGCTTTTTCTCTTGTTGAGAGGGGATTTCCACCTCAACACCAGGACCACCATGTCCTCAGACGCGGGCGCGGCCTCGGTCGATAGCTTCGACTTCGAGCTCTACCGCTACACGCCCTCACTACCCGCCGCCATCGTCAGCGTCGCCATCTTTGCCGTCCTCACGGCTGTCCACGTATGGCGAATGTTGCGGGCGCGCGCCTTCTACTTTACGCCTTTCGTCATTGGCGGCATCCGTAAGTTCCTGCTCTCCCAAGCGCCGCAAACCCTCTGCAGTGGCCAAGCCCGAGCGCCGCGATTCTGACCTTCGTCCCTCTGTAGTCCAGGTCATAGGCTACTGCGGCCGCATATGGGGCCACTTTGACAAGCTGTCCATCCCCGGCTTCATCGTCCAGGCGATCCCGATCCTCGTGGCCCCAGCCCTCTACGCCGCCTCCATCTACATGATCCTCGGCCGCCTCATACGCACCCTCCACGCCGAGCACCTCTCCCTGCTGCCCGTGGCCTGGGTGACGCGCATCTTCGTGACGGGCGACGTCGTCGCCTTCTCCCTGCAGGCGGCCGGCGGCGGCATCCAGTCAGGCGGCACGCTCGACCTGTACAAGCTCGGCGAGAAGATCATCATCGCGGGCCTCTTTGCGCAGATAGTCGTCTTCGGCTTCTTCGTCGTCACGTCCGTGCTCTTCCACCGCAGGATGAACGCCCAGCCGCCGACCGGCGCGTGGGCCGCCAAGGTCCCCTGGCGGCGCTACCTCTGGGTCCTCTACGCCACGAGCGCCGTCATCCTCGTGCGCAGCGTCTTCCGCGTCGTCGAGTACCTGCAGGGCAATGGCGGCTACCTCATCTCGCGCGAGATCTTCCTGTACGTGTTCGATGCGCTCCTCATGGCGCTCTGCATGCTCATCTTTGCCGTGTGGTACGTGGGACACCTTGAGAAGAAGCAGAAGCGACAAAGGCGCCGCTGTCATGGGCAGGATGGTGTGGAGATGGAGATGGGTCGCAGGTGAAGCACCGGAGAGGAGAAGACGTTGTCGAGTTGGCAATTCTCATTTGAATCCCGAATGGCCTTGCTACCTAGATTAAAGAGGTCCAATTTCCTCTTCATAGACATGAATCAATATGTGTGATACAAAAACCTTTAGGTCCTGGTGAGCCCCAGATCAAATGTGCGTCCCTGGTGGTCATTTTTCGAGCCGCGCTGTTGAGAGGACATATAAAGATCGTGATGATGCGAGTTGCCTTGCTACCACCACAGGCTGAAGAAACCCAATGAGGCTAACATGACGGTGGCGAATGACTATGCAGATTCAATCGAGCTGCTACAAGGAGGTGGAGGCTCCTGGCCTGCGAACCATACGAATGTGACCCGTGACAGAAAGCTGAGGGAGAATAAACCCATTTTTTATCTTCCGATTGATTTTTTGCTTCAGAATTCAACACATTTCAACACATGTCAGCCTATCGGTGGCTTTCATCAGCCGTCTCGACCATTTCGAGCGGCCACGACGTCCACGGCCGCCAGTAGTCGCCCAGCAGGTCATCCACCACGTCAACAATGTCTTTCCCCCACCCCTCAATGAACCAAAAGCTGCGGAGACGGTGCAGGATGACGCCAAAGTAAGCGAACATGATGAGGGCCGGCGGCTGGCGCTGACGGAGCTGCATGAAGAAAAAGTCGGGCGCGACGAGGATGAACATGATGGGCCCCGACGAAACCTGGTTATGGCCAAAGGCCTCGAGCACCTGCTCATCAAACGAGTCGAACTGTTCGACAAACATAAAGCACTTGATGAGCGCGCGCAAAATTTTGTCGTAGGCACCGGCATCGCTGCTCCCCCGCCACGCCGACCGAATCTCCCTCAGATGACGGGCGCTGTCGCCGGCGGCGTCGTCGGGGTCCAGTTCATCCCAGTTGCCGACATCGAGCATGACCCTGAGAGGGCTGCTCCAGATGATTCTGTGGACGGGTTCGAGGACGATGCTGACGCCGCGTATCATGCTGACCCATTCAAGCCCCAGGATGCGGTCCTTCATGCTGCGTCTCGAGGTCCCAGCGGCCTCTTCGCCGAGTTGCCTGGTGAGGCTGAAGGTGCAGATAATGTTGAGGGATGCAAAGGCGAAGAGTGCCTCACTGTTTGCCTCGTTCATCTCGCTGATCGCTTGGTTGAAGCCCTGTATGGCGAGGGTGTGGTGGGCGGCGGCCTCGCGCACGAAGCTCGATTTGGTGAGATTTTTTTCATGGGCGAGGTGCAATGCGGACAAACACAAAATGCCGTGCATGAGGAACTCATGCTGGGTTGCGATCTCGGGTACGGTGATCTGCCATATGGGGGCGAACTTTGGATGAGTGATCAAGAGACTGCTTGTCGACACGGTCCAGTGGTGAAGCAGGCCGAGGTCATGCAGGGTGAAGGACGGGGCGTCACCGTGGGAGGCGGATGTGGTCGTCGAGAAGGGCGACACGGCGGCCGGGCTGGGGCCATGAGAACCGGTATTCAGGTGTGACTCTGCAGGAGACGGAGCTGGCTGGCCGTTATCGGTACTGGTGACTGGATGGATGGAGGATGTGTGTGACGTCGATCCAACAACCGTCGCTCGGCCCCGAGGAAGCGGCTGTTCAAAATACACACAGGAGACGCCATGCCGATGACAAGCTTTGCAGGTGGGACGTTCTTCATTGCACTGCGGTACAGCATCAGCGTCACGTGTTGGATAGCGGGGAGGGGAGTTCCAGCGTACCTTGACGCGCCGTCTCTTGCACTCGACACATCCTGTCCTCGACTTTGTGTGGGCTTTGCGTCGGTGCGTGGAAACAAGGGGAGCAATGCCCGAGGCGTTGGGCGAAGGAGAACGGGTCAACGGCACGGATGGCATGAAGATACGTCAGAGATGGCTCGATACGAAGGGGGATGAAAGGTTCGGTCCAACGCAAGATCGAGATGAACGAGGCACCGTGGTGAAGTGTACAAACGAGATGGGAGATGGAGTATGGGGGATTGTGTTGATGGAGGAACGATGTACGAGAGACAAGTGGAGGCTTGGCTTGTCTTGGGGCTGAGCCTCGTAGCAAGCAGATCGTTTCTGGTCGTCAGTGGATCTCGGACCTCGTATCTCGTTTATCGACTTGGCCCCTGATCGCTTGCTCGCGTGCTCGCGTACCATGGATTCGCTCGCACGTTCAAGACGATCTGTGGTACAATGTACAACAGCCAGCCCCATCTGACGCATCTTCAACTCTTGATTGTCTCCTTCGGATGAAATTACTGCTGGTCTGTCGGGCTGCTGTTCGCATGGCACCTAACTATTGTGGTGCAATGCGAACCAGCTGTGAGCAGCTGGCCCGCCCAGGAGGCAGGTGATGTGTTGACGTCACGCGAGAAGTCTCACACGCGAAAAAAAAACTGGCACTAGGCAATGACGATGGGGATGGGCGCTGAGGGGGCAACTGCTGTCGGTGAGAGTCATGAAGTCAACGATCCGTGCTCACGACTCCTCAGCCTCGACCGGCCATCATCTTTCTCGTCATCTTTCTGCTTCGTGCAGCTGACCTCGTCATGCAGCTCTTTTCCACCTCCTGCACCTACATTCGCCAGTCTCACCAGTGAGGGCTTCTCGAGGTGGAACCCCAGCCTCAGCTCCCTCGTGCCACGCAGCTGACCCGCCTCGGGAGCGACAATGTCTTTTTAACTTTCTTTCGCGCCTCGAAATCACGCGCCAGCTTGTCGCCATTGCTATCACTTCCATTCCCTCTCTCTTCATACACCAGTGGTTTACATCAGTGGTTGAAGCGTGCATCTCGCAGCATGATAGCATAACATAGCACAGCACCGGCACCTCTTGCACTTCATCCAGCAGCAGCAGTAGCCTGGCATCGACAATGACGGGCTCCCAGCCTGAGGCCCTGGCAGCCGTCCTCCTCGCTCAACACCGCGCCGCTTTCAAGGCAGACGTCGCCGCCGGCCGCGCCAACCCGCTCAATATCCCCTACCACTTCGTCCCGGCATTTGTCCTGCCCATCCTGTACATGGCCCTGCCGCACACGAAGCGCCCTTGGCTCTACACCGCCCGCTGGCTCGTCCTAGCCGTCGTCATCCTGTTCAACCTCGACATGGTGCGTACCACGTCGAGCACCAACGTGGCCATTGCCTACGTCACGGGTCTGTGGGCCGTTTGGAGCATCATGCACAACCTGACCATGCTCGTGTGGATGCGCCCGCAATTTGACGCCGAGAGAGTGCGCCGTCATCCCAAATTCCCGAGGCCAGCTTCGAAATCGACCGTCTCCAACGGACACGCCGCCCACCCCCCGAAATCCTCGCAGGTGAGAGCATGGGCTCCCGGTGCCGATGTCGAGAAGTACGACTACACCTGGCAAGCGTTCCCTGCCTCGGCCCCTTTTTCCGAGCGCCTTTACTGGTCCTTCGAGCTCTTCGCCAGCTTCCGCGGCGCCGGCTGGTCCTGGGCCATCCCCACTATCCCTTCGCCGCAGCGGCCCGAGAAACCCCTTTCGGGTGAAAAGGTGCGCATGGACACGGTGCCACTCGTGACCCACGCCGGCTACGCGACCTACCCCACCGAGCGGGCCTTCAACGTCGCCAAGCTCCGCGCCGTCGCCGTCGCCTACCTGGCCCTCGACGCCATCAAGGTCGGCATGATGAAGGACCCTTACTTTGTACTTGGCTCCACCGCCGCCGCCGCGTTGCCCCTGCCGCGCCACCTCGCCCTGCTGCCGCTGTGGCTCGTCCTCGTCATGCGCCACCTCATGATCCTGTCCGGCCTCTACGCCGCCATCGCCTACCTGCTGTCCATGCACGACCTCGTCCAGCGCCACGTCGTCTCGCGCTTCATCCCCGCCCGCGCCGAGCTCTGGCAGTACAGCTCCGTCTTCGGGTCCCCCGTCGCCGTCCTCGATCGCGGCCTCGCCGGCTTCTGGTCCGCCTGGTGGCACCAGACCTTCCGCATCGACTTTGCCGGACCCGGTGCCTTCCTCGTCAGAATGGGCCACCTCGCGCCGCGGTCGCCCGCCGCTCAGCTCATCGGCCTCGCAGCCGCCTTTGTGCAGTCCGGTCTCCTCCACGGCTGCGGCAGCTTCACGGCCGTGCCCCGCACGACGGTCTGGTACCCCATGGTCTTCTTCGCGCTCGCCGGCGTGGGCGTCGCCGTGCAGCGCGCCGCGTGCAGCGCGCTCACTCCCTGGATCGCGGGCTTGCCTCGGTCGGTGCGGCGCGCGGGGAATCTGGCTTTCGTGGTGCTGTGGCTGCACGCCACTGTCTGGCCTGTGGCCGAAGATTTCACCATATCGGGTGTGTGGCTTTTTGAGCCGGTGCCCGTGTCATTTGTCAGGATGCTCGGGGGCGGGCAGGTTGATCACGCCGTCTGGAGGATCGATTGGGATGCGTGCCCGCATTGGATCCAGGGGAGGCATTGGTGGCAGAGCGGCTTTGGGGGTTAATTTTTCTGGGGGGTGGGGGAGACACTTGAAGAAATCAGACTAGATGATTAGACTTATGGTAGAAGTAGCAGCACCCGGAACATTAGCGACATATTATTATTACATGATCAGCCAGCCCCGATGGCTTACTCTCCAGCGTACAGCTGAGCCGAACCTCTGAAGCTTCCTAGCAGATTTATGGATGTCGAGCGATAATTCCCAGGTACTTGGCACTGTCGGTCAGGCTTCCGTGTCTCGGCGTTGCCTGTCACGCCGACCTTGGTCCAGCCATGGACATTGGTCGTTCAAGCTGGAAATGTACTCAAGCTACCGTCGCTTTGCTCAAATAAACAACAAGATGCTTGGGTCACCTACTCCGCCCCGGAGAGCAAGAAGAACGAATCGGCAAAAAGGGCCGGCACGCAAAGACAAGGGCTCGGACCGCTTCGCCGTGCATGCACCTCGGCGTCGTCATTCACGTCGGCGTTGCCCCTCCCCCCAGGGAACACGTCGCGGTGCCGTGCACTTTCGGCAAGGCGGGTCTGTCCGCCGGCAGACGCTGTCGCGCCAAGACCAACGTCATGCATGCGAAGCTCAGAAAGTGAGGACGAGGCGATCAAGCATTCCACCATGTCGGGTTCGGCGAGTACCTCTTCTTTTCATCGTATTGTTCTCTCGTGGCGATCATGATACTTATTCCTTTGGACGTAGTCCAAGAACTGCGCGCTTGGGTTTAACGAACTAGACATTTGCGGAGGAAGAGCTCGTCGACAGGTGTCTCGAAAGTGATTGAGGCGACTCGCCTCCGGACCTACGCAATCGTCAGCATGGGTCATGTCCAAGGCCGTGCCGACTCGAGGGCCCGGTGGACGTACTTTGATCTCGGCAAGCCCGGGAGGGTGATGGCAGTTGCGATGTGTAGCGTGCAGGGACCTGAAGACAGCACCTCGCGGCTGCCAGTGGTGGGCTTGGGGGTCCGGAGAGCACTTGACGTCACACCTGGTCCGGGATGCCACCTCGAGCAGATGCCTTTCAAGGCCTCATGACCATGACGGGGGATGGCGGTCATATCAATCGCTTGGCCCGAGCCAGGATCGCGGGATCGAAGTCGCTGTCGTGCTGCGCTGGGTGCTACTCGCACCGAGATGATGGCGAGCACAGCAAAGTGCGGCGAAGCTTGTTAGAGGGACTGCATGAATAGCCCACAGAGGCCGACGCAGAAAGTCGTAGTAGAATCCTTCACCTCGATGTTTTGCGAAATCTCGATCTCGACTTTCAGTGTAGATCAGCACCTTGCCCTGCGCATTCGCAAGAACCCAGAAAGTCACCCGTATGAGCACCCTGTAGGGCCTGGGAATACGTCACTCGCGAGGTCAAACAATGGCGGACCACACCTCAGGGGCCTGCGTTCCTTCGATGTGAACTGGACCATCGTGCTCGACGGACGTTGCAGGTCTGCGCCCTGTTGAGCTATAGTCCGGCTGAGTTTACTACCCAAACTCAGTGAAGCTTGCCTGCGATATCAAAGGACGACCCAGGTCAACCTGGAGGTAAGCATGAGAGACATGCCATCTGTCAGGTTGATGGTGAAACAAGGCACTGGAATGCTGTGACGAGTATTGGCGGGGTACGCAGCCGCGGATGGTAACATGCTGGCGTACCACTTCCAGCTCCGTTACGAAGCGATTGGAAATCAGGGACAAAGCAGCAGCCGTTTGCGGTAGACGTTAAAGACGGCAATCCTAGCGCCTCGGACACCCGAGACACTGTGGATCGTCCCAAACCAACCACATCTCTCGTGGCACTCGCAGCGCGTGATGATTGGTTAGAGGCCTATGCAGGCAATCTAACGCCAAAACCGCGTTGGGCCGCGACGAGACGCGTTTGACGCGTCCGCGTCGCGCGACCGCCAACGTCATCCACCTCGTTGGATGTGCGACAGCGCCCGTGGCCAGGGAGAGAAAGAAGGTGCATCGCAAGACAGACCTAGACAGTGCGTCAAAGTACTATGACCGAGCTGGACCACGTTTTCCTAGCAGCACTTCTGCGCTGAAGGGGCTCTGCTTATTGCTTTTGGTCCGCTTCTTCCACATCAAGTGCAAATTCGTCGCGTCAATGGTGCCGATAGGTGCCCGCGATCTACTACTGCAACGACCGGCAGGCGAGACATGTCGGCGTGCTACTTCCGGCGCGTAGAAGCCTGTGAGTCCGAGGCAGAATACCACGTCGCTGCAGGTAGACCCAGCCATGAGCGATAGACTACGCAAGGCTGCAAGGTGTGAAGAGGCGCTGCCTGTGTCCCGCAGACTTCATGCGAACCTGCCCATTTCCCCACCTGAGACGGAAGTCGACAAAGGTAGAAGTCGATAAAAATCGTTACACCGCCCCTCTACAGTATTGGATTTGGGGCCCCTCATCGTCAGACGACTGCTGGCCCTGCGTCGGACAAGCGGTGGTGCCCCTCCGGCCCCGGATCATGTGCGCCACGCCCGCGGCGGTAGTTGCGCGGGAGATGACCGGCCCCAGAAAGACGTTGAACAGATCTGAGAATTTGCCCTGGATCGGCGTTCGTGGGTGTCATCCGTTGTTCGAAGGGAGAGCAAGCGAGTCGTGTGGTGAGTGCGGTCGCCGCGGTCTACACACTCCAAGGCGCCGCGAAGTGGTGTGCCAGCTCCATAATGACGGCAGGCGAGGAGGCGCTTACCAATGAGCGAGGGCTGAGACAGAACAGGCCTGTGGCTGCACCTTGCGTTTACGTCTAAGTGCTTGCATCGGGCGCTCGATCGGGCCCCTCTCTTGCCCTCCCTAGCCCTGGCTGCCTCGTGGCGGGCAGACAGAAGCTGGTTCGATACAGTCCAATAGTGCCCGTCGTGGAGTGGGACCTGAGGTTGTTGCTCCGAGAGACGAGCGAGAGGGACAGTCACGATTGTAGTCCTGGCTTTCCTGTCACCAGGCCCCTCCTAGGTCGATCAATTGCTCGATTCCATCAGGGTATCGGCCGTGCGAGATGCTGCCGACGTTGCCGCGCCTCAGTAGGTCAGTAGTCGCGCATTATGGCGCAGACACAGCAACCTTTCGCGCGCTTCAGGGCGGAAAACTGAGTTTGCTCGCCACAGATTGCTGGCCGAGACGGGCCGTAAGCTTTTCGACAAGTGGACCGAATAAAAAAAAGAAGGGACCATCTGAAAAGAGGCAACAGTCCTTGCGCAACGAGTCAGATTGTCAGGAGGTCATGAAGGTCTGGCCACCGAGCAAGCGCAGATGGCCTGTTCGGGCGGGTGACTGGAGGGCGATCTGAACTTGCGACTGTGAGGTGCATGTGCATGTGGAAGGAAGGGAGGGAGCGAGCCGTACCCTTAGTACAGGGCGGTGCGACGGCAGCCCCCCTAGTGTAGGGGTTATCGGTAACAACCGGTGTATGGTCTGCAGTTAGTCCGGAGGGGCACCGGAGGAGGAGGGGTAGAGGAAGAGGGGGAGGGGGAGCCATACAACATGACTGACATGTCTGTCGATCTCGCGATCTGGCAGCGGATGAGAGAAGATCGGCTGGAGGATGTCAAGTGCGAGTGGGGTGAAGAGGGAGACAAACTACTGGGAAAGGGTGAAGCTGAGGGCGATGCTCAGGGAGAAGGGTGCATCGAAAAGAGCTATCGTCAACCCTTTGTCTCCCTCCACATTGTCTCGGATGACCTGCTGCTCGGCCAGAAGCAAAGTGCCTCTCAGCTTGCGTGGTTGTTGCATGAACTGATGGCCAGGACAAAGACAGAATAGTGACCAGAGGGGGAGAGCGCTGAGGGAAGCGGGGGGCGGCAAAAGCAAGGTGAGCACTTGGCGACCCTGGCGAAGATCGATATCGCGCTCCCTTACAGACAACCGGGGCGCCTGAAGGAGGTTTGGCTGTTTCGGGCCCTTCCATCGAGGTGTAGCAAGGACATTGTGGGTGGGGGGGGGGGGAGAGAGAAGAAGCGCGAGTGAGCTAAGACAGTGAAGCCCGGACTTGTACCTGTCCAGACCACGAGGATGGTCCAGATGTAGTTCATGCGTCGCGGTCAGGTACCCCAGGCTGCAAGGACGATGCCACTCAGAGTAGTCGCGACCAAAGACATGAGGGAGGGCAGGCGCGACGCACTGTGGCTCACTGTACCTGACCAGACCAGGTCTTCGGGCCAACCAATCAGATGCACACAGGCGACCCACCTTCCATTGCCGGTTGAGCGACGGGATCTGCCTGCCAACTTGTGACCTTGGGCCTGCGCAGACCTTAACTACAGGCCCCCGTAACCGCCCACCTGCCATTCCGACCCTCACTTCTCCCTCCTTCAACCCACCCACGCCTGCCAGTTCTGCCGCATCCGTCAACACTTCAAACCATCACCCATTCCACCGCATCCGGCACCAGAGACTCCAACTTCACCAGCACTACACCATTAAAGAGAGAGCTCCATCGTCTTTGAAACGTCTTTCTTCAGGCTATTCACCATCCACACACTGCTCTATTCGAACCCGGCGCATTCAATCTCATCGTCGCAAACCAGTCGCAGACCAGTCGCATCCCGCCGCAAGCGCCCATCACCAACCTCTTCCACCACCCAACTCAACCAGAACCACCCACAATGCTGATGCCCTCAGCCTTCTCGTGCGATGCGTCGCAGCAGCACTACCAGTCATATCCTCACACTCGCCTGCAGTCGGCCCTCTTCGCCTCGCCGCCCGCCAGCCCCCCTACCCTTACCTCCACACCCGCCATTGGCAACATCTTCAACACCTGCCGCTCGCTGCAGTCTCTCCTCACAACACCACCACCACCAGAGCGCGCGCAATTGACCCAGCTGCCCACACCGCCCATGGCTCACGCGCCATCGCCTATCAAGCTCCGCCTGCGCCCTCGCGCGCCAAGGCCCGACAACTCCTCTGCCCCCGACTCCCGCCCTCGCAAGAAGATTGTGAAGCGCGCGCCGCCCCGGGGCGCAAACAAGCGCCGTCGTGGTGCCGATGACGACCTTGGTCGCATGGACCTCACAAGCGACGACGACAGCGATAACCAGATTGAAGCCGACAGCGAGAGCGACGCCGACGTCCCCGCCATGCCTGCCGCTCCCTCTACGCCGAAGCGCGCGCGCATCGCTCCCGAGGTCATCCCCCTCGGCCTCGCCCGTACCGACTACCACAACCTGCACGCTGCGTCAGATACAAACCTGCCCCTCCTGAACCTGGCGCAAGGCAGCGGTGTCGAGGTGGAGCGTGATGGCGAGCACTGGAGCACCGAGGACGATCGCATCCTCGTGGAACTTGTCCTCGAGAAGCTTCGTCTCAGCAAGACAGAATGGCAAGACTGCGCACGCAGCCTGGGCAAGGACCGCAACAGCCTGTCGCGCAGGTGGCGGAGCCTCATGGCCCAGGGCGATGTCGGACTCAAGCCTACGCGCGCGAGTCGACGGGGCAAGCTCCACGGAACGTGGTGAGCACAAGCGCACTTGTCGCTCTTTCTATCTATTGTATAATCTTCGGGCGCATGTGCCCATTTTTGTGTGTTTAAAGCATGGCTGTGGATACGGCGTTTACATGGAGATATGGCCCCTCGAGGCTTGGATTGGTACCGCATTGGGTCTGACATCGCGCCAGATGCGCTTGATTTTTGGGAGGCTTTCTAGAGAACCAGAACGTTGCGCGAACAATGCGACGCGAATTGAATCATCAACTTCATACCAACTCTTGGCCCCTGCTTCACTGATCTGTGACGTGTATTCCTTTTTCTTTACATCTTCATGTGCAAGGCACTGGCGCGCGGTTTCACCTTGCGATTGACAACCTCTGCAATTGTCTGTCGCACCTGGATGACCTCTCAGAGCCAGCACCGACGCGATGCGACGCAATTGCGACAGGCACTTGATAATCGCCCAGTCAACAACCCTCATGGTCCTCCCCTCCCCCCTCCTCGGGGTCCCTCGTCCCGGGAATTTTCAGGGTCCCCCCTCAGACCCCGAAACCCAGCGTCCAGGCTGGCACAAGGAGTGGAAAAAAAACCCAGTGGCCGGTTGTGCGAGGCCTTTGCACAAAACGAAGTGGCTGGGGCTCTGAGACACACAGATTTCGCTTCCGTTTCCGCAAACGGGGATGGGGGCGGAGGGGAGAAACTCTTCACTGGCAAGACTGGCAAGACTGGATCTCCCCCAAACGGTGCACAGGCCCCTCCCGGGTGCCCCAGCGGCCCCAGCCACTTCACAGAATTCCAGCACAATGCCCTTGTCTGCACAAGCAGTGAGACCCCCCCCCCCTGAAGACCCCCCCCCAATTTAAAAAAAAATGGATCGGTATATTAGATGGACGACCAGTCTGAGGTTCCCCCGTGATGTAACGCTCAACACATGAGTTTTCTTATGTTTCCGCACGTGATGTTAAGCCCGGCCAAACCACGAAC